AACCAAAATTATTTGAATGTCCAATTGAGAGAACATTTTTAGTCATATTTGAATTCTCAAGGGATGTAGATATAATATTTTAAATGTGAGGTGTCTAGCTGATTAAGTGACAAGTATGAGAAGGTCTAGTTATAATTTATCAATTTAGTTTTAGACAGCAAATTGACGGTTGTTAGTTTCAGGTGCGCATTGATATAAATTTCTATCATTGAGGATGCAAATTGAAATTTTTTATCTTTGAAGGTACAAATACAGATTCGAACGATATTTCAGGATACAATTTGTGATTAATCCAAAAAAGTATAATAACATGTAAGGATTTATATATTCCAACATGTCTCCTAAAGCATCAATTAGATTTTGAACAAAGTACGCTATAAATATTATAGTCCTATGGGTAACGAGAACCAAAGCTTTTGATTTGTTATTACGTAGATCACCAACACATTTAAAGCAGATATATTTCTCCTCTTATATGTAATGGTTTTGTAATTTATGTTGTGAGCAGCTCATAACCCTTAGATACTACATGTGCCCTTGTCTAATCTTTCACATTATGTGCTGGAAAGGGAGAATAACACATTTTGCAAGTGTACTGTGTCGCATCTGGAAATATATAGAACTTTTTTTTTTTTTTCTTTTTGTTAGGCATAGTTAACATAGATCGTGTCATATCAGATATGTATTACATCTAAATCATATTGTGTTACAATTTATTTCATTTATATACACCTATTTATAGCTATATAAAGCCGGGTTTGTAATGAACAGCTTTCTTAAACTAATTTGTTTATTCAATTCAATTGTGATCTAGACATGTTAAATTTAGTACATACATGATAACCTTGTATCAATTTCATTTCAAAGTCAACAGTTTGTTATAAGGAAGGGGAATGAAAGTAGACTCCACTTGCTCTTGGTCCAAGTCCATCTTACAGTACTAAGAGAACTGAGGTTTGTACTATGTTGGAGTCTTTAAACTAAGCCACAGGAATTGCTAAATAATCATATTATATAAGGACTAATTTTTTTTTCTTCGAAATAGCTGAAATGATCGAAAAGTGTTTGTTTTTTAAGGTTATTGAAATAACTCAATGATTGAATCTAAAATCCAAGACTTCGAAGTGTTTCGGAATATTTTGAGATATTTTGAGATATTTTTATTATTATTTCAAAATATTTTTAATTATTTAAAGATATTTTATATATTTTGATAAATATTTTACAATTTTTGAAAATTAATTCCCAAATTTTAAATTCATTTTAATTTTATTTCTAAAATATTTTTAAAACATTTTTATTACTTTGGTGATCGAAATAATATACTAAAATAAAATTTTAACCGTTAATAATATTCTTTCCCTTCTATCCCCCAGGTTTCTAATTCCTATATGAAAGCATCAGATCAGTTCAATCAAATCAATAGTAATATTCAATTTTTCACCAATGGTGCTTCCAAACCAAAAAGTTGAGATTCCTCTATGATTCCTTGTTGTCTTCATTTGATTGACTTGCACCTGGCTATGGGGTTGACACTGTGACAGTCCCAAGGAAAAAACCGGCCATGGGCACATCCTCTACTAATTATAGCAAAGCGGCAGCCATGTGTTGAGGTGGCCTGACAGAGGATGCCAGTGTTATTTCTAAAGGTTAATTATAAAATATTCCCTTGAACTTTGAATATTATTTTAATCAGATCTCTCTGGTTTAAAATTGAACAATTTATCTCTTTAATATTTGAATAATTTTTAATTAATTCCTACCGTTAGTTGATCTCTTTTAAAAATGATTTAAATTAATCAAAAACCCACAACTACCCTTGTCTTTGTGTAAAATTCAAAATCAAAAGAAAAAATCCAAATCTGTTGAAAATCCAATTCACTTGAAAAACCCAAATCCCTCCCATCTTCTTCCATTGCAACTGAAACTCACCCCCCACCCTTCCCACAACTCCCTAATCCCTCTCCCTCCACTAAATCGAAACTCAAATCCCTCCCCCTCAATTGAAACCGAAACCCACCACCCACCCCAACTTTCCCTCAACTGCCTAATCCCTCCTCATCCACTGAACCGAAACCCAAATCCCCTCCCCCCCACTGAAACTAAAACCCGCCCCCACCTTTCACACAACTCAACTCTTTAATCGGACTCCATAGAAACTGACAACCCAACCCCACTAAAACCCTCCCTTTTCACTGTGGATCCAGTGGTTTGTGGCTGGGTGGTTGAGAGGTGGCTACGGTGGTTTGTGTTTGGGTCATTGGGTGGTTGAGTGGTGGCTATAGTGTTTTGTGGTTGCATTGGTGGCTGCAATAGTCATTGACTGGTTGGTTGGGTGATGGATATGGTGGTTTGTGGTTGAGTGATTGGGTGGTGGCTACGATGATTTTTGGGTTGGTTAATTGTGGCTGTCGTGGTTATGGCTAGGTGGGGGCTACGGTGGTTTGTGGGCTGGTTATAGCTACGATGGGTGGTGGTTATAGCTAGGTGGTTTGATGGTGGCTGCGGTGGTTGTGGTTGTTGGCTGGGTCATGGTTACGGTGGTTTGTAACTGGTGGCATTGGAGATTTTGGCTCAATTGGGTAAAGAAAAATTAAAGAAAATGAAAATGAATAAAGGCTGAGGGTACAAAAGTAATTTTAAAATTTTTGTCTAATTAATCAGTTAATTTGTTAATTTTGGAACTTGAAGGGGGCGAATTTTTTAATTTTAAACCAGAGGGATCTGATTGAAATAAGACCCAAAGTTCAAAGAAGCATTTCGTAATTAATCCTTTCTATATAATACTTGAGGGGTCTATTTGATTTAGTGACAAATCTTAAGAAGACTGAATGTAATTTATGCTTCTATTATCTATACTTTATATTAAGAGAATCAATTTAAATTTTTATTAAATATCAATTTAGCATATTAGTACAAAATTTTTAATAATATTAGGATGGGTTGGGATTATGTGTGGCGGTGGAATAGGGTGGGAGTAGTGGTGATGAAGAGATATTATAAATTTTGTGTATCGTACAGAACGACTATTAGTATTCTCTTAAAATACAGTTTTACGTTCGTAGGCTTAAAAAAAAATTAGTAGTAGTCTAGATCATTTATATTTGAAAGTCCATTTTATAATTAATATTATAATATTTTAATTATTCAAATTATGTCTTTTTACATTTAACTTTTTAATCACATTAAATATTTTAATCATACTAACTTTTTTAACTATAGTAAATATTTCAATTATACTACACAATTCAATCACAATAAATATTTTAATCACAATAAAAAAAGCGTGCTTTGCACGGTCGTATCCTAATTGATCTTTATTATCCAGCGTACATTTTTTTATAACATTTATCGTTGAGTAGTATATGTTGGACTTAGATCCTCTTTTATACATTTTTACATTCTTTCATCCAATGGTGAATTAGTACCATGTATAAATGTGAAACCCACTTTTTTTTTACCATGATTCTTACTTGAATTATGATCTATTATTGATCAAAATTGATTGAAAATATATGGCAAATTTAGCTGTTGGACCTTAAGGTTGAGACAGTAATGGAACTATTAAGGTCTCCCTCATTTTTGGACAAAAACTCTATTATAGATATTGTATTTGTAAAATTATTTAATTAGTAGTAGGAAGTCCCAAAATGCTAGATAGCCACTGATTTAAGTCTAGGGGGCAATAAGGGGTGTTATATGTATGACTTTATTGTCGTCCACTCCTCTCAAGTAAATGCATTTTTTTTATGTTTTTCAAAATTATTAAATAATATTTTGAACTAAGTTGAAACAATGCACTATTTGTGTAGTATAACATATATCAAGTTATAATTTTTAGATTATGTGGTGAATTTGCAGTAAAATTATTAACAATTTAATGAGACTAAATTGACACTTAGTGGTGATGATGCACAAAACAGGCTTATACATAATCAATAGTCGAGTGTGCGATTTATGATAATTAATTAAACAATCAATAAATCAATTAATAGTAAAAGACAAATACTGAGCTAACACACAGATGTATAGTGGTTCGGTTAGAGGGACCTACTTCACTTTGAAAACTACAACGGTGGTTGGAGAACCTTTATTACTAAATTAAGGAGATAAAGAGAGTGAACTTTGCGAGATGTATGATAGCTATGAGAAAGATAGCAATGTAGGGGTGTGTGTAGAGATGTCCCTCTCATGTAAAGAGAGTTTGCAATTTATAGGCATAGAGTCTTGGTTGAGGTAGTGACGTGAGAGTAAAGATACTACTTATTCAGGGAGGATAGTTATAGCTAAGGATAAGTACAATTAAAGATAGTCTTGATTTTCGATAGTGACTATCCCAATAATTGCTCCCAATGTGCTATAATCTTCTTAGACTCTTTGAACTTTGGACTGGGTTGAATCAACGAGCTGGGCTTGACTGACCTTTTAACTGATTTGAGATTACTTGATTAATTGGGCTCGACCTAGCTAAATCTGAGCTCATCATTTGCCCCCCCATTCCCTAAGTCCTTGTAGTGTCAAGGAGATTGAGGGCTTGAGTGAGCCTCTGAACAAATAAGGGTTTCTAGTTCCTCACGGTAGCCTCTTTTGCTTCTCATTTCAATGTTTTGTAAAATTTCCTTCTTTACTTAACAGACTCCATTGCTAGTCACCTGTTGTATATATCAACATCTTTTTTACTGGGCCCTCAACCAGGCTCCTCCTGTTCATACCAAAGTTCCCTTCTTGCAAGAAGGAATTGTTCTTCTAAGGCTTTCAAAGGTAGGCATTCATAGATCTTGTGGCTATTCATCTTTTACCATTTTTTGGATTGGGTTTAAATTTCCCCTCATTTGATTACAGAGTGAAGTAAGCCATGGAGATCATAGGAAAATCTAAGGAGAAGCCAGATAGTGCTGTTCTAGTGAGGAGGGGCGATGCCAAGCAGTCAGAGGTGGCGCCTTGGGCAGAGAAGGCGCTTGAGCAGAGGAGGCGCCTTGGGTAGAGGGACGATGCCCTGGATGACGGTGATGCCTAGCGCGACGTGTTGATGAGCAGTAGAAAAGGTAACGCTAGTGCCCAGGGTGTGGGATACAGAGCAGTGGAGAGCAGAGCAGCTCAACTAGGCGGTGCAGTCAGAGTAGAGAGTGAGGGCAGTGCCCATGGCAAGGGGTAGGATGCAATGACTGAAGGAACTGGTCTCAAGAGCGGCGACGATAGGGGTGTAGGTGGAAACGCCTCTCATGGGTTGGGCAACACCTTGACAATTGGTCTTGGCGATTCTGCTGGCGCAACAGAGGGTTTGGGCAACGCCTTTAATGCATATGATGAAGGTGCTGAAGGAGATCTAGGCAGCACCAGCTATAGCCTAGGTTTCCTGGATGAGGACAGAGCCCATGGCGGGCATGAGGCGATGATGTCAGTTGCTGTGGGCGATGCCACCTGTAGCACCAAAGCAATGATGGCCCATGCAGTGGGTGACGTTAAGGCCACACAGGCAGGGGGTGATGCCAAAGGGAGAAAAAACATTGGAGGTGCCCTTGCAGAGCTTTAGGGAGACGCCGAAGGTAGACGAGGCATGGGCAGTGCCCTTGCTGGGCTTTAAGGCGACACCAAAAGGAGAAAAGGTATGGGCGAAGCCCTTGCGGGTGCAGGCGCCAGGTCGGACGACGCCTCGCAGGCGCAGAAGCTGCACCAAGTGACCCAGAAAGGCGCTGGGCACTGGTTGGTGCTAGGTGCTTGGGTGCGGACTGGTCGACACCTAAAGCAAGTGGTCTGGGCGATGCCTTGGAGCTGGTACACGGACAGTCTCTAGCTCTGTGATGTTGAGCACTGGCACTGGCACCAGGGTGGAGTACTAGAAAAACATAAAGAGACGACGAAACTTTAAATGACCATAACTTTAAAGGTGGTGGGTTTGGGAGGATGGATAAGGGGTTAATGATCAAAAAAAGAATTGCACCCTTTAACATGGGTATGAAGTAAATTGATCAAGGGTAAAATAATCATTTATAAGATAAATAATTATTAATAATTATAATATATTCGTAAGTCCTATATGTGTATGTGTTATGATGATACCTCAAATAAGTTATAAGAGCAAGCTCAGGAAACAAGGTTAGGTTAGGAGGTCTAGTATGATACGAGGAGCTCAGAAACTCGGGGCCAGACCTCCCCCTGGGGAGATGATAGCGGAACTGACCAGGGAATAGCTGGATAACTGCAAAAACTAGATTCAAAGCATGAAACTCTCAACCAACCAAGATTCTCTCCTATCCCACTAATGGCAGGTAGAGATCTCGGCTCAGATCCGACAGAATGGGAAATAGTCTTATAAATACTATGTAACGCTTCCATAGAGAAGGAAGAGAAAAGAAACCCTAATTTCAAGATATACCGAATTGTAATACATTAGGGTGGTGAATAGAAGAGTGGGAGCAAGAGCCTCCATTGAAGAAGTGGACTAGCCGAGCTTCTGAGCCAGTGAATCACTATATTTTCACTATGTGCACCCCTCAAATCCCCTCAGCATTACATTCCAGCATCACACATGAGCCTTGTAGCTCTGATCCACGATCATCACACATCACCTACACTTTTTGCTCATCCATGTTGATTCACGCCATCAGTTTGGCGCCATCTGTGGGAAGGATTGTTCCTATTACAAATATGCTGATCTTTCAGTGACTGATGGTTTCAACCCCTAACATGAGCAGAAGTCAAACCAATCTACCACGAATGCAAGAACAACAGGAAGCCGCTAACGATAGACAGCCTAAAAGCATCCCAGGGGCGAATCCCCCAATGGGGAATCCTCACTCAAATAATGAGTTGGAGGCTCTTTGACTAGTTAATCAACGTATGATACAGCAAAATGAAGAGCTCTTGCAATGCCCTGGGGAAGCACGACTGGCCCAAGAAGGCCAGAATAACCCTCCTTAAGGAGGGCAACAATATCTCGACCCCCTTAGAGAAGTTGGTGAAGGAGGGGAAAATAGTTAAACATGGGGACAAGATCCTCATCCACCCCCGAGGAATGGACGCAACGAAGAGGTGCAAAGTTAAAACGTAGGGGAAGAAAGGAATGATTTTTCCCCCTATCAACAGGAGATGAGAGAGCAGTACTGGGAGCGGCGTTTCAATGGCATCCAACAAGAGCCCAACCATATGAAGGAAGCTGTGAAGAACAAGGTTCCAGTTACAGTGGATGCCCTAGTACAACAAATTGAGTCGTCATTCTCTGCAGGGGTGTTGCATTTTCCTCTCCTCCCAAAATTTAGGATGTCGCAGATAGAAGCTTTTGATGGGACAAAGGAACCCGTGGACCACCTAAATACTTATAAAAACCAGATGGAGAGCTCCATGGATACCAAGATCTAGTGCGCTATTGAGCCTTCGCCATCACGCTAAAAGGATCAACCCTGACATGGTTCAATAGGCTCCCCCTGACCTCAATCTCCTCCTTTAAAGAGCTGTCTTTATCCTTCGTATCCCATTTCATAGGAGCTCGTATATACCGGAAGCCGAGCTACCACTTATTGAACGTAAAACAAGGACCCCAAGAGAACCTCAGGTCTTATGTCCAGCAGTTCAACTCGGAGTCACTAAAAGTGGATGTCCCAGATGAGAAGTTCGTCACTATAGCCTTCATAGCTGGTCTAGGCATATAATCCAAAGATCTGATGTTCTCTATTTAAAAAAACCCTCAGGCAAGCATGACTGAGGTGTTGGCTAAGGCAAAAAAATACATAAATGGTGAAGAGGCATTTCTCTCAAAAGTGGGAAGTTCATTTACTCAAAAAGATAAAGGAAAAGAGAAAAGAAAAAGAGACTGAAGTCCTAGAAGAGAGAGAGGGCGTGATAGATCTCTGAGAAGGATAGAGATCGCTCCCCCAAAAGGAGGGGAGATGTCAGAGATTGCTTAGGTTCGCCACGACCAGGGCTACAGCCAAGGTACGAACCTCGGCAGCTCCCCCTACTCACTGCAACTATATCTCAGATCTTATACGAGGTGCAGAGCGAGAAGTTTCTAAGATGGCCACCTCGAATGAAAGCAGACCCAGCAAAGAGGGATCCTACATAGTATTGTGAATACCATAGAGATCATGGCCACCATACTGATGATTGCATTGAATTGAAGAAAGAGATTGAATTCCTAATCCAGATGGTTCAGTTACGCCGTTATGTAGCTCGAGATAATCAGGACCGAGCCCCTCCACCTCTACCACCTCAGCAACAAGCTCCTGTGTTACACCAACAACCCCTTGGCGAAATCAGAGTAATTTTCGGTGGGTTTGCAGGGGGTGGGGAGTCCAGTTTTGCCTGGAAGGTGCACCTGCGCAGAATTCGAGCTGGCGAAGCGCTGGAAATATACACAGTGTCCAAGGCGCCTCGGCTGAACATGGCTATCACCTTTTCAGACTTAGATTTAGAAGGCTACCAGCACCCCCATGATGATCCACTAGTGGTCAGAGCTGTTGTGGCTAATAGGACTGTTTACCGAGTTTTAATTGACAACGGGAGCTTAGCAGATATCATATTCTCTTCTGTGTTTGGCAAAAATAGATATAGGTAGGGAAATGTTGGAGCCGGTCAGTGCTCACCTGTTGGGTTTCGCAGGAGAAAGGGTATTGCCCCTGGGCTCAATCCAACTCGTCCTCACCATGGGAGATTCTCTCTGCCAGGCCACCACCACAGTAAGATTCCTAGTGGTGGATGCCCCGTCTGTATATAATATGCTTCTCGGGAGGCCCTCCCTCAACGCAATGAAGGCAATTTCCTCTATCTATCACTTGGTTATGAAATTTTCTATGAAAAATGGAGTTGGAGTGGTCCGAGGAGACCAGCGGGTAGCGAGGGAGTGTTACATGACCTCGATGAAATAGAAGGAAGTCAAGAATGTCCAGTTAGATATGAGGGACGAACTGGATACTAGACCAACACCATCAGAAGAGCTAGAGCCTGTCCAGCTCGATAAGGAGCCTGAACACCTTGTTTACATCGGGTCTAAGATAAGTTAGGAAATAAAAGACCTCCTCATCTAATTCCTAAAAGAGAATAGGGGAGTCTTCGCCTGGAAGCAAGAAGACATGGAAGGAATCGACCCCCTCGGTCATCACACACAAGCTCAATGTGAATCCCACCTGCCGGGTGGTCAAGCAAAAACGAAGGAGTTTTGCCCCAGAATGCCAGAAGGTAATCAATCAGGAGATCAACAAACTCTTCCACGCCAAAGCCATTAGGGAAGTTGACTACCCTACCTGGCTAGCCAATGTGGTTCTTGTCAAGAAAACCAACGGTAAATGGCGGTTGTGCATTGACTTCACTGATCTCAACCATGCATACCCCAAGGACAACTTTCCTTTACCTCGGATAAACCTGATAGTAGATGTCATAGCTGGACATGAACTCCTCAGTTTCATAGACGCTTTCTTAGGATATAATCAAATTAGAATGGATCCAGCCGACCAAGAGAAAACCTCCTTTATAATCGCACAGGGAACATACTGTTACAAGGTCATGTCTTTTGGGTTGAAAAACGCAGGAGCCACCTACCAGCGCCTAGTGAATCGGATGTTCCAAGGTCAAATTAGAACATCCATGGAGGTATATATCGACGATATGCTGGTGAAGTCATTGAAGGCAGAACTCCACATTACACATCTAGCAGAATCGTTCCAAATTATTAAGTAATACAAGATGAAACTCAATCCTGCAAAGTGTGCCTTCGGAGTATTTGCAGGAAAATTTTTGGGTTTCATAGTCAACAGTAGAGGAATAGAGGCCAACCTAGAAAAGGTTAAGGTAGTTTTGGATATGCAGCCACCTTCTAATGTAAAGGAGATCCAACGCTTGACTGGAAGAATAGCTGTCTTGAGTCGTTTCATCTCCAGATCAAGTGACAAATGCCGGCCTTTCTTTCAGATCTTAAAAAAGGCATTTTTATGGGATGCCTAACGTGAAGAGGCATTCAAAGCCTTGAAGGCTTACCTGAGCTCCCCTCCTATCTTGATAAGTCCCTTACAGAGGGAGGTACTAACCCTCTATCTAGTTGTTTTAGATTTCTCGACTAGTACAGCTCTGGTGAGAGAGCGGGACAGGTCCTAGCAACTAGTCTACTATTGTAGTAGAGCTCTGAGGGGGGCGGAGGAGAGATATCCAAAAATGGAAAAGCTTGCCTTAGCATTGGTAACTATGACTAGAAGACTCATACCTTATTTTTAGGCTCATACCATCGAGGTTCCAATAAAACAACCAATGAAATAAGTGTTGCATAAGCCAGAGTCCTCGGGGAGGCTGATAAAATGGGTCATAGAGCTCAGTGAGTTCGACGTCAGATTTAAACCTAGAACTGTGGTCAAAGGTTAGGTTTTAGTAGATTTCATCGTAGAATTTACAACACCAGCGCCTATGGAAGCAACGTAGCTAGTACTTGACCTTCCTACATAGAAGCTCTCTATAGATGGAGCTGTCAATGCTCAAGGAAGTGGCACAGACCTGATACTGAGCTCTCCAGATGGGATAGATGTCGAATACACCCTCAGATTTGGGTTT